CCCCAAAACCCCAAAACCCCAAAACCCCAAAACCCCTGGATTATAGTTAAAATTGAAGAGAAAAAATCTTTTTGTATAATAAAAAACTATAAGGATTCACTAAGATTGGCTGCTAATGGCTTATATTTTCTCTAAAGCTTCAATTTGAGCAAACATAAGAAAATTTATCAGAAATCACTTCAATTTTCAACTAGAGAGGTCATGGGAGATATACTTGGCGTAAAGTTTGCTTGTACACTGATATCATTTCTCTGGCACTTTTGGAATTTGGAATGCTGCTTGGTCTTCATTACTTTCAATGAACTCGCGAGTTTTTCTGGATAAATGAACTATTAAAATTACTGTCAACACTTTTCTCCTTATACTCAAATTTTTGACCATAAACGTTATGTATTTTATTCTTCTTTGTCAAAATAGTAATCCGGCCGTTATTATTAACACTCTCTAAAGAATAAGCCTGTTTAAGAGAAGTTGGAGTACTTAAGGTCTTGTAAGACTCAAATATACTATCTTTGGCTTGATGGTTCATCTTTCCGCTCATAGTGTGCTTATTTTAGCCTCTTATTGCTCAAATTGACATTAAGTCTTCCCTGGTCTTGAGGCTACAAGGCTAGACTGTGGGCTTACCAGGTTTTTACTAGAAATTATACCCAGAAAGCTTACTTTAGTCTGTCGAAACTACTGACTCTGGAGTTATTTGCCAGTAGCTTTACGGAAAAGAGCCTTTTTCTTGAGCTGCTTATGCTTAAACTCTATTTTCCTTTTATTACCGTATAATAAGGTCTAGAAATATCTCGAGATGTTCATACCTTTGGTTTGAGCCTGATGACCTTCTTGACAAGTCGGTTGACTACTTGGGTGTTTTTATCTTCCATTTTCTGGAGTTCTTCTTTCTCCTTTTCTAACTTATTAGTAATATGACAAAGAGAGTTCCTATTTGCTCTTTTCTTTTTGAGAAGCCTGAATTTGTTGTACCTGATAGCCACTTTTGGGTCAATTTGATTCACAGATTTAATTTCAACTTGCCCAGAGTCTATGATTGATTGTTTATTAATACCACTAGGAATTTTAGAACTGTAAAATTTTGGACTCGGAGTAATAGTCAGCTCATTAACTGTACTCAAAGGAGTTTTCAAACGGACAGGAGATGTTCTCCTATTCATATGAGGCAGCTCTTGTCTCATTATAGCATTTTTCATAGCTTTATCTGCACTCCTATACCTCACTTCTGAGTTATCACGTGCAAATCTGCCCTCAAAAAGGTCACGGTGAGGTTTCTTGACTTGTTTCTCAAAATACGTATCCACTGTTTTTCTTCATCTAAATAATCATTAAATACCAAAAAACCGTAAGAAGCAGTTGTATTACTTTAACATTACTTTTCTCGCCATTTCCTATATCAATATTTATCAAATAGCAAATAACAAAAAGTGCCAAATCTTTCAAATAGTTAAGAGCCAAAGAGCATAGCTGAGAATATGAGCTTGTTTTAGCTCTAAAGCGTCACATGAAAAATGCTAAATTGAACACCAAGCTTACTTTTTGAAGCCACTGGCCCACATGGAAGACCTCCATATTCATTTTATATTATTATTCAAAACTTTAGCTATCATTGGGGTTTTGGGGTTTTGGGGTTTTGGGGTTTTGGGG